TCGACAGTTCCACCATGGTCTTTTGATGATTGGCCATACAAACCCTCTCCTTTGTGGATTGCTGCAGCAGCGAATCTACTTGAAACTGCAAGATCCATTCTGCACAATGGAGCAACGTTTCAGCAGGGTTCGGACTGCTCAGAAATCCTTGTTGCTTCATATTATGGTCACCTCCAGATGGTCAAACTACTCATTAAGCATGGCTCAGATGTGAATGTGCAGGGTGGATATCATGGCACTGCATTGTATGCTGCATCAATTAATGGGCACAAAGATGTTGTCCAACTGCTCATTGAGCATGGTGCAGATGTGAATGGATACAACCGCAGCACATCACAGGTTGCATCAGATGTTGGGTGGAAAGACATGATTGATATCCTTAGGGAGTTTTCAATACCCGTGAATATGCAGGGTGGACACCATGGCAGCGCATTGCAAGCTGCATCAGTTATTGGGCACCAAGACATTGCCCAGCTGCTCATTGACCATGGCGCAGACGTAAATGTGCAGGGTGGATATTACGGCAGTGCATTGCAGGCTGCATCAGTTATGGGGCACCAAGACATTGTCCAGCTGCTCATTAAATACAGTGCAGATGTGAATGTGCAGGGTGGATATCATGGCAGCGCATTGCAGGCTGCATTAGATGTTGGGCACAACGACATTGTCCACCTACTCATTGAGCATGGTGCAGGTGCAAATGTGCATGGATCTGATACCACATTGCAGGCTGTTGGCCCTCCTCAGGAGTGGATGCCTTTCACCCGGCCCCCGCCCCTCTTTTGAGCCTGCACAAGTTTATCCTAACTTATCCCACTCAGAATGAGAGAGAAGACAAAGTTGGAGGCGGAAGTTCCACATTCACCAAAATGCAAGCTTGAACCACGCAGACCATTAACGACTCAACCATATTTCTTATTTATTTGATATCACTGGGGGCAAAGATCAATGCACACATTTTGGTGTGTGATTAATGCACACCCGTCGCACATGCACAGCAGATGCAATGCACAAAGAAAAAGACAAAGGACATTGTTTTTTTCTTTGTGCACCGCATGTGTGGCGCATCTGCGAGCTGTGTGCGTTAATCACACAGCTTTTGTGAGCACTGATCATTGCCCGCGGTGTATTCTGTTAGGTATACATAAAAGTTAGAGCACTTGTTGTAGCTACCTCACTTGTTTGCCTCACAATTATCTCTTGCTTGCAGCCTCCTTTCTGAGCTAAATTCTATAGGTATATGACAGTTGGCTTTTTCTTTGTGCTTTATTCACCTGATCTAAGCGGAACAAGAGTTACAAGTGTGGACATTTGAATTGATACAACTATCCAGTCATATATGCTTGTGTAATTCACCGATGTGGAAGTGCAACTTGCTCTGCTTGTTGCCTTCGGATTTTAGTCTGGTTGCATGTGCAAGCCAATAGCAGCATCACAGTATTTAATTTCTTCTTCTTCTATGATATGTCTATCTCACCATTAAACACCATTTCCTCGTTCTCCACACAATTCACAAGTGTTACCTGATTGTCCGCCTTGGCAGAACATCTCTGCAGCTGCTCAATCAAATATTCCCACTCTACACCACCACCACCACAATTATTCATTTCTCATTTCACCTGGACACAAATGCTTTGGAGTCTAAATACAATCAGGCACATATGTATTACTACTAATGCAGCATTTTAGTGTTTATTGTTCCCCTGCTATTGTTATATCCGGTGTGTTTGAGGTAAGCACAAGTTATGTAGGAAAGATAGAATCCGGCTGGATCATGGAAGACTACCTCGATTGTGGAGGAGAGGTGGGTGCAATTCCTCTTGAAGCCATACCACCTCGACAGACACCTCTCTTTGCCACCCTGTGCAATCATTGCAGACATAATCAAGACCATGCCAGACATGTAATTGAGCACCAGCTGTAATCAACCCGACACCTCTCTGTTGGAATGGCCGAGCGAGCATCTGAGCTCAGCCAATGGGAATACTTGCACGGCTGGTTGAGGAGTAGAAAGGCAAGTGTAGATCTACTTCACTCATCCTCTGTTTGTAACACACCTGGCGTCATGTCTCCTGGATCCTCTGGGAGGCACTCACACTGATCACTCAATTTCTACACTTCCAAGGATTCAAGTTAAATTGTAATTCCACTGTCAGTTCCTTTTCCTTTTCCTTGTTCTTGTTCTTGTTCCGCTTCCTTCAATGGCCTAGGTCCTAATTTTGTGCACAGAAATGGGAGTTGGTTCAAGGTGGGAGACTTGCATCGGAGGTGTCCTGCTCCATGAAACAGTCAATCATTTCAACATCCCTACAGTTGGGCCCACTATCTCACTTTCTTGTTGGTGCAGATGGGGGCAAATTTATGGAGGAACATCACTGGTGGAATCATAACAGTTCTTCCTACTACTTGTTAGACTGATGGAAAGTTGAACAGGGATTTTCCTTTCTTAAAACCAGTGTGGGTTCAGCCCTTTTTGCGTGTTGACCCACACAAAATGGCCCTGACTTTGCCCAGTTATGCAGAGAGGGAATTGGAATGCAGATAGGATTCTGTAGGATGGTTGACTTCGCCCTTTGGTGATAAGGCCCGGGGTCAATAATGTTAAGAGGGCAACAATTGAGCCGGGAGTAATATCAAGTTGACTTGACTCTCCCGTGGGATTGGAGTTTCAAAATTTAGACTAATTCGCACAACAAGGCAGGGCTGGCTCCCCCTTTTGTTGTGGTAGTGTCAAAAAGAATGAAGGCTGTTTTCTGGCAATGCCAGGTATTGAACCTATGTCTTGGGGCAATTTAATACTGATGCATACATTCACACCTTATTCACTGTTGAACTAGGCCTGCATAAGTCTGGAGCATTGGGAGAGCGCCACAGGGCCATTGAATTAAAGGCGGTTGAATAATACAATTTGATTGGATGTCAAACATAGTACACCAAAGTTCCCCCGGCATAGGCTGAGGCTCGCATAGCTAAGCAAGCTCGAGTCTAGATCTGCTGGTGGATTATAGTAGCTGACTTTGCCTTTTCTCGAGGCTCGAGGATGCAGTTTAATAAGAACTACCAAAAGATTGATTCCTCCGTATTCTGGCAATGCCTGCGGTAGGATTCGAACCTATGCCTCTTCCCGAGGCACTTTCAAAGCTAAAGTGGAGGTGATCTAATCTTGATCCATGAGGACTTTCCTCTTCTGTGCCAGTAGCCATTTGTGTGAAGCAACTTAGATTGAGAAGCGCAAGGACAGGTAGTATATGTCGTGGTACTTGAATATTAAGTTTGATTGGATGTTCAAGTTGGATCTGGTGCGAGATTACTGAAAGTTAACCCAGATTCACTGAGCAAGGCAAGGCTGACGGACTTTGGACTATATACCCGGCTTTGCCTTTTGTTGAGGTCGAAGTCTGCAAAAAAGCAGAATGATTGAGTCACACCTCCTATAGGAATCAAACTCACAGCTCCACCCTCATCCCACCACGTGCAACAAGTGGAGGTGATTTAAGATCGATCCATAGAGGCTTATTACTGCCTAAATTCATTGTATGGAGCTGGATAGTGGTCAATTGAATTGGATGGCACGTTAAACCCAGGGTTGAAAATCAGCCTGAATACGGAAAGCAGAACAGATTTGAAGCATGAACTCGGCAGTGGTTAACATCCTCACAAAGTCCCAAAAATAAGAAATCAGAGTGACGCCGCAAGCCTCTAGTGGGAATCGAACCTATGTCTTCTCCTCGGCGAACATTTGGTAACCGTGTATGGAGTGGAGGTGATCTAGCATTGATCTATAGAGGCTTATTCACCGAAGTTGAGCTGATCTGCACAAGTCGGATTTCGAGAGAGCGCCACAAAGCCATATTAGCTTAAATGTGGTTGCACAATTCAATTAGATTGAGTGTTGAGTTTGAAAACCAACCCAAACTCAGCAGGGCAGGCTCTGATTCAGGCTAGCAAGCTTCTCCTTTTGTTGTCCCAAAAAGCTAAGGAAAAGAAATTTGACTGCCAGAAACAGTCGACACTGAGAAGGACTAGGTTGCATTGCAAACAGCGAGTTAATTGGATGCTCAATTCGAGATTGGAGTGCTGAAAATTAACCTAAATAATAAATTCACCCAGCAAGGCAGGGCTGACTGCGTACCCGGCTTTGTGTTTTGTCAACATCGCCGAGTCCTCAAAAGTTGCAAAAAGGTTACACCGTCGAGTTACGCAATACCTCCGGTAGGAATCGAACGTGCGTCTCGTTCGAAACATTCGCATTGTACGCTTGCTGTATCACAAAGTGGAGCTGATCCATAGAGGCTTATGAACTGTCCAACTGAACTTGCATAAGTTGGGAGAATTTTTGAGAGAGGGCGGCGGAAGTCGTAGTAGGGTACTTGGTTGAATATCATTGGATAATATTCCTCAGAAAGAGAAAAGTGGTGCAGGTCCCTACATAAACTTGAGTGGACATTGAATTTGAATTTAAGTCTACCGCACAGACCTCTGGTATTTATTCGTCGCGACGTACATGGTTAGAAGCATTAGCAAGAGTACTATTTGGCTGCAGCGATAGAAATTCACTTGTAACAAGTAACAAAAATGGGTCGTCCGAGTCACCGAGTAAGCCCCTAGTAGGACTCGAACCTACGTCTCCCCCGAAACACCTCAATGTTCCACGGCTCGCTATGAAGCGGAGGCAATCTAGTGTTGATCTATAGAGGCTTTTTGGTCAAGAAGTGGTTGTGGTTGGCTGTGGTTGCCTATGGTGGAAGAAAGGTGTGCGTGGTTCACTGCTAGAGGACTTGAGATTTTGAGCAGTTGTAGCTGACTGACTATTAATTTAAGTAACTGAACCATGATTTTGAATTGGATGGAATATGAATTCAACGCGCAACTTAGGTTGTTCGCGCGTCGAGCAGATTGTATGTGAATGTTGGAGATGTGGGAGCGCTGAGCGCTGAGCCTGGGGTGCATGCAGTACACGAGACAAAACAAAAAGATGCGACCCTAGATATGGACTTGTACGCCCCCAGTAGGAGTCGAACCTACGTCTCCTCCGAATCATACCACTCAGCGGAAAGGCATTAAAACATGAAGCGGAGGTGATCTAACACTGATCTATAAAGGCTTATTGACCTGATAGCGAAGTCGACTAGGTGGGGTTTGTTTGCGAGGAAGAGAGCACGGGGATGCGGAACAAAAATGGGTCGTCCGAGTCATCGAGTTTGAAGCCCCTAGTAGGACTCGAACCTACGTCTCCCCAAGGGGATCCAAAGATTAGGAAAAAAGATATCACCTACAAAAGTTTTTTTTCTGGGGGTCGGGCGACCCCCCCCCCCCCTCCCCCCTCCCCGTGGGAAATTGCCGTTTTGGGGTCCCAAATCCGGTCCTTTTGCAATTTTTTTCCGCGCAAGTGGCTTGTATACCTTGCCCGCACCCATTCCCGTGTTAAGATCAGGGAAAGTAAATGTGTTGTTCGAGAACTAGTTTCTGGAGAAATTACGTGGCTTTTGATTGTCAGCAGAGATCATGGGAAATTTCCCGTTTGGTCGAGGCTGTACACTTGTTATCAGCTGTTATCACCCAAATAAAGCAATAATGTCGGAGTACAAAGCTCGATGGCGACTGCTCCGTTGGCCATAAAAAGTTTATATTCGGACTCAGCATTGAAAAACCCTTCGGAAATCGACCCTGTGTCTGGGCCTCCGAAAACTGGACCCCCTTGCGTCTCCCCCGAAACACTTCATAAAACGGCTGGCTATGAAGCGGAGACGATCTAGTGTTGATCTATAGAGGCTTTTTGGTCACTGAGAAGTGGTTGCGTATGTGGAAGAACTTGAGAAGTTGTCGCTGACTATTAAATAATTCAACTTATCGAAGCATGATGTCGAATTGGATGGAATTTGAATTCAACGTGCAAGCTGTTCGCGCGTCGAGGAGATTACATGATGTACATGTTGACAATGAGGAAATAAAAAATAAAAAGGTGCGACAGCGCTTTCTCTATTACGCCCCCAGTAGGAGTCGAACCTACGTCTCCCCCGAAACACCTCAATGCTCCACGGCTTGCTATGAAGCGGAGGCGATCTAGCGTTGATCCATAGAGGCTTTTTGGTCGAGTGGTTGCGTATGGTGGAAGAACTTGAGAAGTTGTAGCTGACTGACTATTAGTTTAACTGAACCATGATGTCAAATTGGATTGAATCTAAATTCAACGCACAAGGCTGCCCGCACGTCGAGCAGATTACATGGTGTGCAAGCGCCGAGGGAATAAAAAATAAAACGGTGCTGCACTTTATCTTTTACGCCCCCAGTAGGACTCGAACCTACGTCTCCCCCGAAACACCTCAATGCTCCACGGCTTGCTATGAAGCGGAGGCGATCTAGCGTTGATCCATAGAGGCTTTTTGGTCAGGAAGATTTTGAGAAGTTGTAGCTGACTATTATAACGATGTGGCCCAGGGTCACGGTCGAGGCTTGCATGGCTGTAAGCGCAAGTCCGAATCGACTGATCAGAAGGTGGATGTTGAATTGAATCTGAATTCAACGCACAAAGCTGTTCGTGCGTCGAGCAGTGTACTACGTACATGTTCGCGATGTGCAAGCACTGAGCCTGGCATGGGGTGCATGCAGTACACGAGACAAAACAAAAAGGTGCCACCAGGGGATGGACGTTCACGCCCCCAGTAGGAGTCGAACCTACGTCTCCTCCGAAGTGGACTAAGAAGTTAACACATGGAGCGGAGGTGATCTAGCATTGATCTCTGGAGGCTTATTGAGCTGGTGGGCAAGCCGACTAGGTGGGATTTTTTGCGAGGAAGAGAGCACGACGATGCGGAATGGGCTTGCAAGTCGACCGGGTGTCTTCGGAACTGAAGGATATTCGAGGTGTGGGCTTGATTGCGGGCAGGGAGGGCAGAAGGGGGGGTGCGATTACTGGAGAGTCGAGGCTTATTATTTGAGCAACACGGTGAGACTGGGCGCGCGCCTGCATTAGCCTGAGCAATGTCGGGTCGGGTGATTTGTTTCGATAATGAGAACGTGTGTTTATTCACGAAGTACGGAGGGACGTGGGGTGTGGGTACGGTTACGGGTATGGGGACGAGCGGCGATGGCAGGGGGAGGAGGCAGCATAAATGAAGCACGCACCGCTCGTTCTCCTTCCTACACACCCGCGTGTAGCCCGAGTCGGCGGGCCGTGCTCCCGCTCTCGTCGGCGGCGGCGTGTTTGAGGTTGGAGGAGTCGGCAGCGTAAGGCCAAGGCGGCGCGGCGCCAAGGCCACAGGTCGACGTGAGCTGCAGTGCTGTGGGTGGAGGCTTGAATAGGTCGATGTGCTGAGCAATTCTGGGCTGCCCCTAGTAGAAGAAGGTAGGCGGGTGTTGCTGATGCGCCAAGAGTTTCACTGCGCAGCGGGGTAGTAAGCAGTGCTGACCGGCGGCTTACCAAACACGCCAAAATACACGCATTAAGTTAATTCCCCTCCCTCCTCCCAATATTAATGTCGTTCCTCAAGCGGGCGCCGACGCACGCCCACTCCGACGACGACCTCGACGACCTCGACAGCGACACCATCGACCCCGAGCTGCGCCTGCGCACCGTCCGCACCGCCCACTCCGCCATCGCAGAGAGCATCGTCGCCGATGCACGCCAGACGCGCAGACGGCGCACGTTCTTTCGACGGCGGGGGGAGAAGGAGCGGGAGCGGAAGCTGGAGGGCGGGGCGCCGCGGCCGGAGGGGCGGCGGCGGAATGTGTATGTGAATACGCCGTTGCCGCGCGGGGAGGTGGACGCGGGCGGGGATCCGGTGGTGAGGTATCCACGGAACAAAGTGCGCACGACGAGTATGTCTCCCATTATCTTATTGTGAGGGTATTGACGAGGACAGAGTACACCATCCTCACCTTTGTGCCGCGCAATCTGTACGAGCAATTCCGCCGCATCGCAAATCTGTTCTTCTTGACTCTCGTCGTGCTGCAATGTGCGCCCAATTCCCGCACTATTTAATGTTATTAACACCGCGCAGTATTCCCCGTCTTCGGCGCGGCCTCGGGCGCCATCGCCGTCCTCCCCCTCGCCTTCATCCTCACCGTCACCGCCATCAAAGACGGCGTCGAGGACTACCGCCGCGGCCTCCTCGACGAAGAGGTCAACAACTCCCCCACCACCCGCCTCGCCCTCCCCCCGCTGCACAACCCGCACCTCCCGGGCTCCACCGCCGAGCGCCCCACGGGCAACCCGAACCCGAACCAGCCGCGCGACGGGCGCACGTGGATTGAGCGGCTGCTAGGCGCGAATCGCCCGGGGAGCGTTAGTAAGGTGCGTCGCGGCTCGCGTTTATTTAATTTGGGGGTGCGTGCTGACAACGCGGGGTAGGGCGTGCGCAAGCTGCGCGCGGCGGAAGCCAAGGGCCCGCTGGGCGGCGCGAGCGAGAGCACGCTCAATGTCGACGCGCGCTCGGTCGACGTCGGTTCGTCTTCCCCTTCCCCTTCATTCATCGTATGCTGCTAATATTAATATTAATATGTGCAGGAGACACGCGCTCGCTCGCCTCCACCGCGACGGGCGGCGCGCACTCGTACCCGCCCCCCGCGGTGCTGGACCCGACGATGCGCCCGGGCGCGGCCCAGTGGGAGCGCACGCTGTGGAAGAAGCTCGACGTGGGCGATGTGGTGCTGTTGAGGGAGGATGAGCAGGTGGGGATTCCTTCCTTCGTGCTCCTTCTGTCTCCTTATTCTTCGTTCTTCCTATTCCTATTACTCCTCCTACTCCTACACTACAACGACCACTCCTTCGCGCTATTCTATTCTCTTCTCGCGCTCCTGTATCCTCGTACTCGGACTAACTAAAACACACACAGGTCCCCGCCGACATCCTCGTCCTCGCCACCTCGGACCCGGACGGCAACTGTTATCTGGAGACGAAGAACCTGGATGGGGAGACGAATTTGAAGGTGTGTGTGCGGCTGTGGTTTCTCCGCGGTTGTGGGGCTGGGGGGGGGGGGGCAGCGGTGTGGTGTGGGGAGGGGGGAGGGGGAGAAGGGAAGGGGGATGCACGGGGGGCGTGCACGGGTCGCGAGGTTGGGGGAGGCTGTACGGCGTGTGCGCAACGTCGACTGTCGACTGGCGACGCGGGACGAGGGCGCTGCTTGGGACGGGGGCGTCGGGTGGGCGGCGCCGTGCGTTGCTTGAGAGGAGGGGAGGCCGTGTACGTCGGCTCTGGGTGTGATCGAGCCTGGATGCGCGCGAAGGAGGGGGACGGGAGGGGAGGGGAGGCCGTGTGCGCGTGTGTGGGGAGGGGGATTTGGATCTCCGCTGGCCAGTTGTGCGCGCAACGTGGGCGTGCCACGTCAAGCCTGCGATGTGGCTGCCGACGCGGGAGCTGCTTGGGACGGGGGCAGCGGCGTGCGTGTCTGCTTAGCGCGTTCTTGTCATCGTTTAATTTATCTACACTTTCTTCTCCCATCCACTCACACTAACCACCCCCCCAGCTCCGCAAATCCCTCTCCGCCACCCGCGGCCTCTCCTCCGCCGAAGAAGACGTCCAGCGCGTGCGCTTCGTCCTCGACTCGGAGCCGCCCTCGCAGAACCTCTACCTCTACCACGGCGTCCTGCGCTACCGCGACTTTAGCGGCGAAAGCGCGTTCAATAGTGTGCATGGCGGTGCGTGCCCCGACTTTCCCTGCTTCCCTCTTCGTCTTTTCTTCGTGTCTTCTTTTTCTTCCTACTTTGAGGAAGGCGGTGTTTTCTTTTTCTTCCTACTTTGAAGACGGGCGCGACGCTGACGATGTGGACGCGACAGGCGGCACCGCGACCAACGGGCCGGAAGACCGCGCGGAGCCGGTGAGCATCAACGAGCTGCTCCTGCGCGGGTGCGCGCTGCGGAACACGGCGTGGGTGGTGGGGCTCGTGGTGTTCACGGGCGCGGACACGAAGATCATGCTGAACGGGGGGGAGACGCCGAGCAAGCGGTCCAAGGTCGGTTGTTCGCTCCTCCTCCTCCTCGTACCAGTGAATACGAGAATATGATTGAAACACGAGACTGATGCGCACGCAGATCGAGCGCGAGACCAACTTCAACGTGGCGGTCAACTTTGGCGTGCTGCTGGCGATGTGCGTGATCGACGCGATATTCAGCGGGCTCGAGGACGCGCGCACGGACACGAGCGCGCGGCTGTTTGAGCAGGGGACGGATCCGACGAGCGTGTATGTGCTCAATGCGCTCGTCACTTTTGTGTGCGTGTCCCCTCGTCGTCGTGTGTTGAAGCAGGGAGCGCTGACAATGCGTTTGTTTGCAGGAGCTGCATCATCGCGTTCCAGAACATCGTCCCCATCTCGCTGTACATCTCGATCGAGATCGTGAAGACGATCCAGGCGTATTTCATCTCGCAGGACATTGAGATGTACTACGAGGGGTACGACACGCCGTGTGTGCCCAAGACGTGGAATATTAGCGATGATTTGGGGCAGATTGAGTGCGTCTCCCTTCCTTCTTTCCTTCCTTCTTTCCCCCGCGGCGAGATACGAGCTGACGATGGTTTGCAGATACGTCTTCTCGGACAAGACCGGCACGCTCACGCAGAACGTGATGGAGTTTCAAAAGTGCTCCGTCAACGGGATCCCGTACGGCGAGGGCGTCACCGAGGCGCAGCGCGGCGCCGCCACGCGCGCGGGGCAGGCCGACACGATGGACCCGCAGGAGCTCACCGCCAAGCTCGCGGCGCTCAAGCACCTCATGGTCAGCACCATGGAGCGCGCGTGGAAGAACCGCTTCCTGCAGCCCGCCGCGCTGACGCTCGTGTCCCCCGGGCTCGCCGCGGCGCTCGCGGACCGCGCGTCGCCCGAGCGCGCGCACCTCACCGCGTTCTTCCGCGCGCTCGCGCTGTGCCACAGCGTGCTCGCGGAGCAGCACGGCGGGGGCGCGAAGGACGACGACGGGAAGGCGCCGCTGCGCGTGCAGTACAAGGCGGAGAGCCCGGACGAGGCGGCGCTGGTGGGCGCCGCGCGCGACGTGGGGTTCGTGTTCGTGGGCAAGGGGCGCGAGATGGCGGAGATCGAGGTGCTGGGGGCGACGGAGCGGTGGACGCTGCTGCGCGTGCTCGAGTTCAACTCGACGCGGAAGCGGATGAGCTGTGTGTATCGCGCGCCGGACGGGCGGCTGGTGATGTACTGCAAGGGCGCGGACAGCGTTATTTATGCGCGGCTGGCGGCGGACCACGATCCGGTGCTGAAGGAGGCGACGCGAAGGGATATGGAGGCGTTTGCGAATAATGGGCTGCGGACGCTGTGTGTGGCGTGGCGCGTGCTGAGCCAGGAGGAGTATTCGCGGTGGGGGCGGGTGTATGACGAGGCGACGAACCGGATCGACGGGCGGGACGAGGCGATCGAGGCGGCGTGCGAGCAGCTC